CTTCTTTGAAAATGCTAACAACAACGATTATATATCATTCCACTAGGAACTTTAAATGTTTGCTCACTGTCAGTATTGAGTAGAATCATTACATTTTGTATCATAGGTACATTATATCTCTTGACGCTTACACTATTCCTAATTAATCTCAAACCGTATTCTATTTGTCACTGTAAGGAAGTACACAGTTCATTAGTTTAAATAAAATCTAAATAAGTTATTTATTTATTTATTTTAACACATAGATATTGGTACAAGGAGGCACCAAATACATATGCGCCACACAAATCTCAATTGATATGTGTGAGAGCTGTGATACTGCCCGGTTGCCCAAACCGAAGCAGGTGGTTTTCTTAGAGGGCCACACCCCGAGCCTTCGACCTGAACGTCTGACCCACAAGGCAGTGGAGCATCGTGAGGAGATGCAGTCCCATGGTAGCCGGTGACCAATAAGTGGTTCATACGCCATTTGTTCCTTTAGTATACTGGAGCCCATGTGCACCATTGGTTTGGGATCCGGTTAAAGCGCCGGAAATCCGCTTTTCGTCCTCTCATTTTCGTAAACAACACCCCGCCACGAGAAGGCAGTGAGTAGGACTTCCCTGGCAGAGGCTATATACGCATGGCCATGTGAGAGCATTTCGAGAGGGAGAGCGGACTCTCCCCACTCTCGGCCGTACCAGGGCATTTGGGGGCAAATAAGTAAGCCACGAAATAATCGTCCACATATATTGTGATATACCTATCACAGTAACTTTTGTTGTTTCTTGATCTGTGATTTTTTTTGTGGTTGTATTTGAACATAAGTACCTTGTAACGGGTTAGAAATTCCCCTTCGCTGTAATTTTCACTCTAAAACATGAAGTAACAGTCCCTCTACTAATAAAATATTAATTCTCAACAACTACATACTATGAAACATCTATCATTCCAAAATGTTCATGATGTTGTAGCTACCAATATCATAGTGTGTTTATATTTTTGTTGAACTGCACACTAGAGATAACTATGTGTTCACAAGACTGATGACTATTACAGTGTTTTGTTCTGATAAAAATGCTATACTCTAAAATGTTACAACCTATGATTAAATATTTAACTTAGATGACATACTTCACGTGAATGAAGTCTCTGTGAAAAATTGTTCAAGCCAAACTATTCATAAATCATATCTTTTGAAATATTTTGCCTTTTTCTACATGTTATATTCCTATTTTCATCAATATGATCATGTCATTAAAGTGGTGGGCATTCTGTAATTGTTTTCAGAATGGAATTAAAACGATTTCGTGATACATAAAAAAAAAGACATGTTTACAGGTAATACCATTGTTAACTTAAATTTCTTCAATACAGTATTTCTTGTATAAGTTTAGTGTGATATTAGTCCAATGTGATATTTAGCGTTCGTTTATATCGTTCAAGATGAAAGATTCATTTATATTAAAACTATTTCAGTCATGTATGACATTTGTTGACCACATCTCCAGTAAAATCTGTACATAAATAAAAATATTTGGTTAATAAGTATTTATCGTCAGGTATTTGAAAGGTGAATAAAATTTTCATCTGATATCAATCTTCGATTGCTTGATAGCATGGTGTAAACATCTGTTGTTTCCTATTTTGAAGAACCGTTTTCCGTGGTTACACGAACTTACAGTCCCATCAGCATAACAAAAGGAAAAAACTAAAAACATTAAAAGTGAGATTGATAAACATCTAGATTAGATCATGAAGTTTGAAATGAGAAAAAGAAATCACAGAATGAAAAATATGAAATGATACATAACATCAAGTGTGTTCAGCTATCAAATCAAATCAATCAGACTAATAACGACACTACAAACCTGATTGACAGAAATCAATGAGCACTGGAGATGAGGTCAGTCAATCAGCTACAACGTAGGACCAGGCACATATATGCATAGGTTCAAGTTGCCACACCTCATTAGCACAACAAGATGAACATCAAATTTATAGAAGTAGTTAATTCAATGGTAGTAATATATAAAAGAAAGATTGTGTATAAGGATATAATACAGGAAGAAAAAATTACTTCATATAAAGGTATAAAGCAATTTTAATCTTACGGTTTAAAGGAAGAAAAAGAGTGTATACACCTACGCCATTGTGAGCAATTCTGAGCCATATCACGATACGATAGTCACACGGAGGTAACATTGTTTCGTAAGTAAATTAAACATCATTAACATACCATACAAACATTATAGTATACAAATAACTCTACTAATCATACTTATATAATATCAATTTGACAAACATTAAGGAGTCAGTTACTGTTATTACCTGAAGCAAGGGTTGATACCGAAATCCAAAACTGTAATTTTTCCTTTAAATCTTTATCATTTAATAAGTACGGATTAATTCCTCGTAGTAAACAAAGCTAATAAAAACAAAGATCAACACAAAAATAACGTCAAATCACAATCATAAATACACCCTTCACGAGAATAATTTTACACTGATTTTCAAGAGAGTCAAACGTTATCAAGGCTCTTTACAACATGAACAATGCAGTTTAACCCTATGGCGTAACCACAAAAGCTCCAAAAGCCATAATTAGAGGATCATAATACATCATGTGATCCCTTAGAAAATGAATTTGTTGTTGTTTGTATATCAAAATGTAGAAAAAACTTTAATGGACCAGGATTGATTAATATTCGTCAATTATCTGCATCTTACTAAATCTTGATTGAAGAAAATATAATCCATAAAATTCTTTCGAACGTTAATACAGTCCACACAAAAATTACCTCAATAATCTGAGCATAATCTTGACTTAAAGTTAAGTACTAGGAATATTCTTCAAAATAAGAAACAAAAGTCATACGAACAAGATAGAAAATTCGGAAACATTTCATAAATAATGGGATGATTGGCAAAATAAATGTTTCTCTAATTTATTAATGATATTGGAGTGTGATTTTCTAACCAAAGATGTTACACACCTAAGATAAAAACGTTGATGTTGTCAAAAATAGGACAAAACGATTAAGCTATTTGGCCATGAATCAGTAAACTAGAGTACATAAGTATTATAAAAAATGAGTAACTGTTGCATACAAAGCATAAGTTAGTAATCCACTGGATTCCAGTGTTAAATTCAAGCCGTGGTGAGAATTTATAAGAGTACAACTAAATAATAAGTCAGAAGTAGTATAAGACATTCATTCACTCACTGCCTTCTCTCTACGAGGGTGTTGTTTACGAAATTGAAAGGATGAAATGAGAATGTCCGGTACTTTAACCGGGTTGATGGATATGAAGGATCGATGTACGGGAGTCGGAAAGCCCTGTTTTCTAAACCAATCGTGTACATGGGATCCAAGATCCTGAGGGAAAAAATGATGTGTGAACCTATTATTGATCGCCGGCTACCATGGGACTGCATCTCCTTACGTTGCTCCACTGCCTTTTGGATCAAACCTTTAGATCAAAGTCTCCAGGTGTAGCCCCTTAGGAGAACCACCTGCTCCGGTTTTTGGCTCCCGGACAATATTCCTGCTCACAAACAAATCGAATGATGAAGTTTGGCACATATATATTGCGTGTTTTTTTAACCAATGTTTATGTGTTTTAATAGAAGAATAAAAACATTCATTCAGAATCATTCAACTCATCAAATAAACTTTATTAAGGAAAATGTAACTATCACGAAGAATTGCAATGCAATCTGTTTGAATATCTGGGCTACCTGTTCCTGTCATCTAGATATTCCAACAAGATTTTTTGTTTCCTTATTTATTTTAACAGATCATTATATCAATTAATTGTATAACCTATTCAGGTGCATTTATGACCTTTCGCTGTACAAGTTACAAAAACATACAATCGGAGACTTCGTGATGTCTGACAATATACATTGAAAAGAATGAATATTACTTAGATGCCGGTTTCTGAAATGCTAATATTTAACTATCGATCACTCAATATTTATCGACACTATCGATCAAGAAATAAGAAATGAAAACTCGCTGAAATACTTTGTGCTGAAAACTCTATATTATACCAAAAATTATAATATTGAATAAAGCTAATAATAAATAAAAATAAGTAGTATTTAAAAAAACCGATTAAGAAATGTTAAGAAAAATTATTCACAAAAGAAAACTTACATAAAAAATAAATTAACGTGTGTCTTATTTTTAAAAAAATTCATTTTTAACTAAAGATTTACAAAGTACAATCTTAAAATTCACTTAGTATTGTTTTACTTATATCTTCGGATTGTTATTTAAGACTGCAATTGATCAGTCTCATCTTGGCATATGTGCATCCTGTGTGGATTGCTTCGATGTACCCGTAAGTCCCACGCTTTTCAAGCAAAGATGCATGTTGGCTAGGGGTGAAATTCAGGACGTACGTCTCGTTTTATTTGGGACTCGTCAGTTGGATGTACCTGCATCCTAGAGTTGATGTTCACATTCAGCTGACGAGTCCCAAAAAGGACGAAGCGTACGTCCTGGATTCCACTGTTAGCCACTATCTATCTATACTTACAACCTTAAAAACTTAAACCTAAGTTTGTTTTCTGTTTTTTTCTTCTTCAAGATACCAACGTTGATAAACATTTATCGACGCAATGAAAAATCAGTCTACTTTTTAAAAATTAATTTTTCAAATTAAAAGCTTAGTGTATCGAGGGGATATCTTTTTTACAGAAAACGTTTATTTTTTACAAGATCCGAGAATTTTGTATACGTTTACAAAGAACTAAGAGACAGCTAATAAAAACAAGATTGTTGTTTAAAGTGTTTTAGATTGATATGAAGTAATATGAAAAATGATTCGTTTAATACTTCAAATATCAATTTTGTTTTAATGATCAAACAAAGTGGAATATTAAACTATAAAGTTGTGTATTTGTATCTATTAATTGTTATCCGTTTACAATAACCAAATAATAAACTTGCCTAGTTATATATTTTTGTTTACTTTTCTAGAAGAAATAATAACATCGTTTAAATACTTACTTGTTTTAAATCAGAATTTTGTAAAATCGATAAAGAATTGTCATTGAATAACTTGTCTCTTTGCATACATTGATCTTCAACATATAGGAAATATGCATGTTTCTTTAATACAAGTATACGAAATGTTTTTAGAATGGATTTTCTCTTGAATAAATCATTCCATAATAATGTATTCATTATCCAAATATATGAATATATAGAGAGACCGTGTAACCGACATAAAGCCGCCTATAAAAATAATAATAATCCTAATTAAACTGATATGAAAACAATTATTTATAAAGACACGTTGAATTAATATTGATAAGAAGCGATTAAGATAGAGGTCAACAGATTAGGTTTATAGGAGACAGAACTGGTATTTCTATATATATTTTATGTTAACTTTCAGTCACTAAATTTCAATTTTAAATCCCTCCTTAGCTACTTCAGTTTGGGCAACCGAGTAGTATTATTACCCTTCAAAATTATGGTGTGGCTCATAACCAAGTACTTAGTGAATGACTAAGCGATTTTATAGGGCTGTATTTTTGTCAACCATCTAATGTTTATAGTCATGGATATCTCCTAATAACTTATATCAATATCATACAGGAAATCAAACTTATACACATAAATAATGATTTTAACATGAATTAATTAATTTACAAAATATGAGTGTGTAAGGTCAATATGATAAATTGATGATGCCTAGGTTAATTACATGCTCCCAAGTTTTATCACCACATATAAATATCAACTAATATGGTTTTATGTTTATCAATGTTTTAACTAAAAAAATTTTTTTTATAAGATTCAATGTAAATCTGTAAGACAGGATATATAAAACGACTATTTAAAATAATTACTTTTAACATATTTTGATAATTATCAAAGTTTATTATGGTTACTAGTAATATTATTACCATTATTATTATCATTACTGTTATTATTATCAATGAAGAGAGAATAATTTCATATCAACCACAATTGGATAGGAAATAATTTACTGTAATTGTGATGTGGGTTACTTATATTCATATAAGTAGTATATAATGAAGGTCAGGAATAGAATGTATTTCAGTAGAAGATCGATAATGAAAGAACTGGAACGGAACGTAATTGGTATGAAAATGCCATGAACAATGAAATCTAAGACAATCAATTGATATTTGCAAAAGGAACAGTGAATTTTGAGATGATAGATTGATGTTTGCAAATTAACTATTTACTAAATGGTTCTCAGATTTTATTAAGATGCTCTGTGATTTCGTGTCAAATACATTCGATTATCCCTACTTGTGTTCTTGTTCACTACATAATAACTATATATGAAGTATAGTTTGTTGAAATTAAGTAATTTATCATAAATCATACGACAACTTATAATAAGTAAAGCAGTTGTATAATTTATAAAAACTATAATTGACTAATTTTTTTATTAGAAATATGTCATATGATTGGTATATGCATACATGTACATACTACTTAGTGGACAAAATGTCGATTGTTAGCTAAAGATAAACTTTATTGGCAATTCGATTATGAACAGCTTCTTTAAATCAACTATTTATTTATTTATTTATGAAGACCAATGTTTATCATTTTTGTCATCCTCAAATGAAAAACAGATATTCCACTTGATGTGACGGGATGATATTTATTTATTGAAATATCATAAACATTGGTACAAAGAAGCACCAAATATAAAATACGACATACTTCATCATTTCATTTGTGTGTGGGCTAGAATACTGTTCGGGAACCGAAAATGAAGTGGGTAGTTTTTTTTAAGTGAACAACACCCCAATCCTTTGATCTAGAGGTCTAATCTATAAGGCAGTGGAGAAATGTTAACATATGCTATCCTATGGTATTCAGTGATCAATAAAAGGCTCAGACATCATTTGTTCCCTAAGAATCATGGTGCCCATACGCACCATTGATTTGGAATTGAGCTTTTTCAACTCCTCTAGGTGGATCCTCCATATCTATCAACCCGGCTAAAACACTGGACATTCTCATTTCATCCTTTCAATTTCGTAAACAACATCCTCGCCGCGAGATGGTAATGAGTAGGACTTCCTTGACAGTGGTTGTATACTAGCTGAAACAATTATTTTAAATACCAGTTTGCTATGGGCTTTGATGCAATAAACAACGGTCAAGTGAATGTCATTTACTAAGTGAATACACTTTTTTGATAAGCTTTCTAATGATATACACTACCATAAAATCCCTCAATTATTATACTCCTCATAAACCACACAAGAGAATAAAGATTAGGAAGTAAATTATCAAAAAACCTAAATACTATAACAATATTAAAATTAGAATTTTGATATTCTAAGACTAATTTTTGGAAATTGTTAAGTGATATCCATTTATCTAAAACGTAAAAAGATGGTTGTATACCGTGAGAACAAAGTTATTTCTAACCACTGATTTCATTAAGTTGTTTTGTTTTTAAAAAGAAGCTTTAACTTAAAACATACATATTTACAAAGTAACGAAAATAAAATACTACTTAATAGGTATCAATACCAAGGTTGGACTGGACAGATTCAAATAAATTGAACATTGGGGAGAGATTTAACAATACATATATTTTTGTTATATACTGATGAATAGTAAATTGTATTTCTGACGTTTCGTGACTCAATGTAAGTCATTTCTTCAGAGTATATATCACAACGATGATAATGAATTAGCCATCAAAGAAAATTATTATGTAGATAATTAAGAAAATATAGACCGAACAAAGCAATTGGTTTAAAACATAGTACTTATTTAAATCTGTCATCTTAAAACATAACATTATTGACTTGGAGTTGTTTTACTTGTATATTCCCATTGTTATTTAGTACTGCAATTGACCAGTCTCATCTTGGAATATGTGCATCCTGTGTGGATTGACTCGGTATATCCTTAAGTCACAAGCTTTTTAAGCAAAGATGAATAATGGCTAGCAGTGGAATCCAGGACGTGTGTTTCGTTCTGCATGGGACTCGTCAGTTAGATGTACCCGCATCTCAGCATTTATGGTCAGTCTGTGACCCGATCCCAGTACCGTGATCCTAGTACCTAGAACTCGATAGCTAAGTGGATAACGCGATGGAGCTTGAAGCGAAAGACACTGGATTCGAGTCCAGGAGTGAGCATCAACTCTGAGATGGAGGTATATCCAGCTGACGAGTGCCAAATAGGGAGAAACGCGCGTCCTGGATTCCACTGATAGCCACTATCAATCTTTGCACAAATAAGATTATTGGTTCAAAAATATTGGTGAGAAATCATGGGTTGATCTATTTATTTACTTACTATTTTTACTTAAACACATTGACATTAGTACAACAAGACACCCAATATATATGCGCCACATGAGTCAATTTGTGTGAGGACTAAGATACTGCCCGGGTGCCTAAACAGAAGCAGGTGGTTTTCACAGGGAGCCACACCCGGAGCCTTCGACCTGAAGGTCTCATCCCCAAGGCAGTAGAGCAACGTAAGAAGATGCAGTCCCATAGTAGCCGGTGACCAATAAGTGGTTCATACGCCATTTGTTCCCTCAAGATCCTGGAGCCCATTTACACGATTGGTTTGTAATCAGGGCTTTCCAACTCCCGTACATTGATCCTTCACATCCATCAAACCGGTTAAAGTACCAGACATTCACTTTTCGTCCTCTCAATTTCGTAAACAACAGTAATGACATGAGAAGGCAGTAAGTAGGACTTCTCTGGTAGAGGCTATATACTCGTGGCCATGTGAGAGGATTTCGAGAGGGTGTGTGGACTCTCCCCATTCTCGGTCGTACCAGGGCATTTGGGAGCTGATGATAGTCAAAGCAGTAACTGTTTCGAAAGTATCCTTATCGATTTTGGGTTCAATTTCATTTACATAAACACAACGGCACCATAAGTTATCCAAAGTCGTATCAATTTATTGAATAGTTGAAAGGTATTTTTTAATCCAAAGTTTACAATTTACAGTAGTGAAATTCAGCTTATTGAACTAAGTTAGTTATATAATTATTAATTTCAATAGTTGAAGTCATAAGTCAATTAAAGCTAGACCAACATGGAAAACCTGAAAGCACTGAACGGCCGTTTCATCCTAGTATGGGACTCCTCAGCAGTGCGCATCCACGATCCCTCCACCCCTCGAGATTCGAACCCATGACCTATCATTCTCGCGCGCGAGCGCTTAACAACTAGACCAGTGAGCCGGTATCATACGGTGTTAATGTCTAACTTCAAACAATCCACGAAATTGCTCCACCGTCACTATTGTCTTCAGAGAGCTGATATCTCACAACAGACCTGGTTGAACTCGATTGGTAACGGCTTCTCACTAGAGCTCCAGGAAACGCCTCTTGAAGTCGGTCACTAGTGAGCAGATGATTATTATCAGAAGGGGTTTTGTGGAGATTGACTCATAATTTCAACTAATAAAATTACTACTACTATTTATCACTTAATGAATTTGAATGATCATTTTCATTAATATAAATAAGAATGAAAATAATCTAAGAAATATAATGTAAAAGCATATGAGTATACTAATTAATTGAGGTTTGTTTTCATAACTTTCTAATTTATTGTATGATAATAAAACAGATGAATTCCTATAGAAAAAAATTCTTTATAATAAAATAATTAACAATATACAATAAAACTATCCTGATTTAATTAAATTGTACTTAAAATCTATATCAAGTATTTCAAGAATGTTTTAGGAACATTCTATGTGTTCAGTTTTATTGATCGGTTCAAGTTGTATATACAATGGGATAAAGATAGTTTATATTGTGTACGAGTATTAATTTCATACCATCTATAAAAAATAAATGATAATATATTAAGCGAAATAAACTATTAGAGACTGAGAAACACCTGAACAATACTTTTGAGAATTGTGTAAATAAATTATATGATACTCTTAAAGCAACATAAAAATAATGAATTGTATGCAGTTATTTAAATATGAAACACGATACTATGATCTTTTGATGATGGTTATTAATTAGTAGTAAATAATTATATTTGCCTAAATTTTATTGACTTGTTAGATGGTTGCAGGTGACTAGTGACCCAGATAGCTCAGATGTAACGTATCACATTGTGAGGCAGAGTGATGCAAATTTGAACTTCACATGAAGCATTAGTTCTATCAAGAAACTTAGATTCCGAGTTTCGTGTACAGAATATCTCTAATCAACTAATATCTTATAATATTTCATGAGATATCGAATAACTTAGATTAATAACGACACTGAGATATGATCAATAGAATTCATTCATCTTGACGTTAGTTACCATTTTGTAACCAATCAAATGCTCTCTTCGTTTATATATAGAGAATTCAAACAAGTAAAACAAATAAAACCAGTATGGAAATATGACCGCAGAACTCAATGTACTTCTTGTCATCCGACTACTAAATCTAGAACAAGTGTCGATTATCACATATAAATCATAGTATCTACATGGATAAACATTGATTAATGAAACTTTTTTATGTTGAACTCAGTGTGAAAAGCGTACAATTAAAGCTGTTATAAAGTAAGAGAAATATGTATGACTAGTCGATCAGTTCGCTAATATCTAGGATTCTGAAATAAACCACACGTTAGAATCGGGTATACAACAATAGAAAATTAAGAAACTTCGGTAGAATACAGGCTTTATTGTAATAAATTGCATAGTAATATGTATTCTGTACGAAACCTTGAACTTTTTTCATTATTTTGGAATTTATTACCGGTCATAATCCAAGTAGTATAATTTTCAATCACATTTTTTTCAACCATCATAGTAATGAAACAAATGGCAGCTGCATACGTTTCATTGGTAAGTATGACGTATAAAGTGAAAAAGGATGGATCACTTGAAGTGAACAGTGATAGATATTCTAGAGGTAGATAGCCAGTTTAAATATGAAATAAAAAACAACAATAGTAATGATTGCCATAGGGAGTCTGTTAAGATTATTGACTTTTTTTAAGTATACACCAAGGACTAATTTCAGGTAAATAACTGTCAAGATCTAGGAATCAGAAGACCGGACGAATGTGAAGCAGTTACTTATTAATGATATTGGAGGACGATTGCATAATGTCATGGATTGATTAAAATTAAACACGTAAATTATTGGGTGCCGGCTCAGCAGTCCAAAGGTTAGGCCCTAACCGTAAAACCCGAGGATATTAGTCTCAATCTCTGAGGTGTAGTGAATGTATATTCTCGAGAAGTAGAAATAGTTGTCCAAAACCTCCTGGTTTCCAATGGCTATTTAACTAATATCAGTTCGTAATGAAAACTATAATAGTGAGCATATCTTTCTTACTAAATGAATGGTAAATGTATGAAAGTAAACCACTGAATATTTTATTATTTTTGTTATGATCACCTTTGGGATTTATTTATGGAAAAATACTATACGTATATTTTTATCGTATATTTGTTATGTAACTAAACTATTCATATTTATGTCCCTCTTATTATGAGCTTTATTTTGACCTATGGACTATTATTATACGATTTACCATTCTTCAGTTATACCCCGTCTATTAATTACTACATCGCTCATTCACAGCCAAAGTTGGTTAATTCTTTTACAAATGTTGTTTCATATTTTATGGTACGGTGTGGTCTGTCTGATTGGCATATAAACTCAGTATGTTTGAAATAAACGATTCATATTGCAGAGGCTGAGATTGGTGTTCTGGACTTAACTGGCTGGGCTAGGCACAAAGCGAGGCCAATAAGGACCCTAGACTGTTCTCATGGGTTTTATGTGTGGTTGGTCCGGTCGATAATTCACTGCTCTCTAATTGGCGGTATCGTTACGTATACATTAGCAGGACATTCAGGCCACAAGTTATGGCAATTTTTATTTTCTAAAAATAGATAAAAGACTGAAAAACAGTTATTACAAAGCAGAATTGTAAGTGAAACTCATACATGGTAGTAAAAATTGGAATTTTCAGAGGTATATTTATTTTTTTAAAACAATATTATTATTATCATAATCCTATTTTGAGTAAATACTATTGTCGCATAAAATAAAATAGAATAACTCACTAAATGACTTGTATCCAATTGTTCTAAGGATAATGGACCATTGAAAGCAGGTATTAAATCACGAATTTGTTCAATTGAAATTGGTTCCAATATTGAAACCTAAAAAAAAGAAAACAAACGACAAATATATATTTTTGTTTTTCGAAAGAAAAAGAATAATATCCGTAAAAGAAAATATGCTCATAAATAGAAACAAATAGAAACTAACGAAGAATATAAATATAAAACTGGCTCAAAATTGAAAGAAAATTATTTAATATATCCAGTCGCTGTTTGTTTTGTTTTCAAACAACTATTCTGAGATATCTACTCAGACTTAAGTTAATGTACCCTGTTTTTTTATTTTAAAAAAATAGAACCTGGTAGATTTATATAGTATCAAATAAAAGAGGAACACTAGTTTTTGTAGAGATAGAGGATTACTTGTATTTTATAAAATTTATGAAATATTTAACTACAAATCCTATAACTTCGGTTTGGGCACCCGGGCAGTATCACAGCCCTCACACATATCAAATGAGATCTGTGTGGAGCATTTGTATTTGGTGCCTCCTTATACCAATATCTATGTTTTAAAATAATAAAAAAATAACTTCAAACACATAGTTTTGTAGGTATATCAAATGTCCTATTCGTTTTAAATCATTGAAGTACAGCTAACAAATAGAATTTCTGACTTCTTGACTGTATATTTCTTTAATATCATTTTGAAGGAAATTAAGTTTTATTTAAATATATTCAGTATGATATCTATTTCACATTCGATAACAAAACGAGTGAATAAAGAGATTTCGTCTAAATTTGAACGAATAGTTTCATAATATTTGGGTGCCGAGTTAATATGTGACATTAAAGAGGAAGAATATATTTGTAAAATCTCAGCTAAAGAATTTGAAGTAAATCCAATGAATAATATTCTTCTTTATCAGATGATCATTTCATGATGATATATCGTAAGTAAATCGTTGCATTTAGTAAACATGATAATTATGAATTGATAGAAACCACTTAATACTTTTTCATTCCAATTTTAGATTAAACTCAGAACTCCAGATCTTATGTTAAATATTTTATATATTTACTATATGATGTATTCATAAATTTGTTACATTAAACAGTCCTATTACATCAATCATCAAAAGGTTTAGATTTCAATTATAAGAAAACGTTTCAAACAAAAAATTACCTGAAGAATACGTGGAAACTAAACATGAGATGGTGAAGAAGATTTGAAGCTCAGGTGGGTGATTTTGATGGAGTTTTATTCTCTGAGCTGGATGGTTTGCTCAGAGAATAAAACTCTATCAAAAACTAAACATTAGCTTGAAATGTTTTAAAACTAAAACAGAGATATTAACAGTAATGTGAGGAATCTAGTTAACAAAACTCAACATTTTAACATATTGGGGAAAAATTAACTTGTTTTTTTTTTTGATAATTTAAGCTACATTGTTTAGTGAGTTAGCTAAGCTGATCAGGAATGCATAATTAACTTTATTCGAAATAACTCCTATGTTTAACTGCTAATAAGCAATTTGTATAAAAAATATCAATCACTATATATTTCCTTTAGTAATTTGGACGTTACTTTATTTGGGACTCATATCAGTTGATCATAATGAAACGACTAACAAGCAAATTTTGAATCTTTATAAAATATTGACTTGTTTTAATTTATGACCTTTGTAGGTTACTAGTCCTGCTTCGGTCTGGGTACCCGGACAGTATCACAGCCCACACACAAATCAAATTACTTTTTGTGTGGTGCATATGTATTTGGTGTCCCTATGTACCAATATTTATGTGTTCAAATAAATGTTACTAGTATTTAATCACAGGCTTCTTTGAAGCATTGCTCGCGTATGTGATCAAGACTGAAATGAAAAGAAACATACTATACAAAAATGTCAAATTGATTGGTGACACAATAAATCTTTATTTAATGAAGTAATTAAGGGATGAATTATGTATACCAAACTACTGCCTACTGGTGCAGGATATGAGAAGGTTGAATGAAAGTTTGGGGCGATAAGACTAAGTTATGATATAAGTTCATAAATGTTGGTTTGTTAAATAGGTAGGTAATGACTAATCGGTTAGGGTCTAGGCTATGATTGTTACTAATAGTTGGAGATGTTGGATGACATCTCTTGGAATCGGTTTGAATGACACAGTCTCAAGAGAATCATACTTTTTATTCCATGAATTCATTCTTTGGTTTGGAATCATATTGTCTACATCTAAACTTTCTTACTGCTGATTGATATATATATCGTTTACAACTGACCAAAAACGAAACTATAATATGTGAATATATAACCCACTCTGAAAGAATATAAGCTTTCACTATACAAAAGAAAACATAACTAAATACACCAAATAAAATTCATTAGTTAAATTGTGAAAATACAAATATCAATCCGTTTAGTTGAATTCATTCTTTCATTCAGTTAGTTAAATCATAATTTTTTTAAAATAAATAAATAAGGAAACAATGTAATTGAGTTTCAGACAAAACTCATCAATTTATAAGTATATCAAGGTGAAAATGTATTCAACTACATAGTTTCAAAGTTTTTTATTATTATTTATACATAACTTATTCTTATGTAATTTAGTCAATGAATACAATTAATTATTAATGCATGGTAAATAATGTATTAAATTACATAATGCCCCAAAATGCCGAGAGTGAGGAGAGTCAACTCTTTTTCTCGAAATGCTCTCACATGGCCACGAGCATATAGCCTCTGCCAGAGAAGTCCTACTCACTGCCTTCTCGTGTCATTACTGTTATTTACGAAATTGAGAGGACGAAAAGCGAATGTCTGGTACTTTAACCGGTTTGATGGATATGAAGGATCAATGTACGGGAGTTGGAAAACTTTGACTCTAAACTATTGGTGCACATGGGCTCCAGTATTCTGAGGGACCAAATGGCGTATGGACCACTTATCTGTCACCGGCTACCATGGGACTGCATCTTCTTACGTTGCTCCATTGCCTTGTGGATGAGACCTTCAGGTCGAAGGCTCCGGGTGTGGCTCCCTGTGAAAACCACTTGCTACTGTTTGGGCACCCAGGCAGTATCGCAGCCCTCGCACAAATCAAATGAGATTTGTGTGGTGCATATGTATTTGGTGCTTCCTTGTACCAGAATCTATGTGTTCAAATAAATAAATTACATAATTAAAAAGGTTTTTTATTGGATATTATAGTAATTCCAATGATTAAGATTATGAATCAATTGAAGATAGACCATCATGGAAAACCTGGTCTACAGTTTAAGCGCCTGCGTGCAAGACTGATAGATCTTGGGTTCAAATCACGCGAGGCGGGATCGTAGATGCGCACTGTTGAGGAGTCCTACAGTAGGAAGAAACGGCCGTCCAGTGCTTCCAAGTTTTTTATGGTGGTCTAGTCCAAGACACAACTGTGATCTCGTTTAAGTGTTTGTATTTCGAGTGTGTGTTGCGCTATAATACGGTAAAAATAACGACAACAAACTTCCAACAATATGTTCTAGACCAGTGGAAATCCTCCACAAGCGCGAATCATCTGTTCACCGGATACAAAATTTTTAGAAAAAGGGATTTTGTCTATAGTGCTCTTTATCTTTTAGAAAAAATTTAGTATAGACAACAAATTTTCTTATTATCTACTAGAAACAACAGAGTAGACAAAATGATAACCCTACTCTTTTTAGTCTAAAGACGACACCAAACGCTGTAACATATTTTCACTTAATTCAATCAATCTGGTTAGGAGTTGAACTAAGAAAATGTTAGAATCTCGAAAAGGCAAAATATAAAAGACTTGTAAATTTGTGTAGCTTGACAAACGGCTCATTTACCAACCAATAGAATGTCAGGATAAGCTTAATCCATCAGCCTTCTAAACAGTGATAAGATAAGAGATCAGGTAAGAGGAAGATATTATCAAAATAGATATATGCAGTGACAGTACAATTATTGTTAACAAACAATAAAATCTCATATCAATGGAATAAGCTGTTAAAGATGTTTGAAAAGTCATAGCAGCTCACTTCCTTTATGGTAATAATGTTGTTCAGAAAGATAATGAATAAATATTTCATCTTACACAATGCAACATTATTCAATTTGTATCATGTTTTAGATTGATATGTTGATATTCAACTATTATATATTGAAGAGTTACCAAGATATCTTCTTATGTAGGTAACAGAATACGAGTATCGTAAAATTACAAGCAAAACCTATTAACTCAGTTTTTCACAAAAGATGTGAAATATAACAACGTAGTATATTGTTTTATGTAATTATATTTTACATTACAGCAAGGAGACAATTATCTGAATTATCTTCGAATTAACGAACTCAAGCTTAAAACATTTGCAAGCGATGTTCTTTATCCCAGCTCTGATAACGAGATATCATGTATATATTCATTGAATAACCGTACACTAAAATAAGTTATAAATCATTGTATAGACATTTATAAGACATTATTGATAGTCCGTTACTTGATAAAGGTTATCAGTCTGTACGTCACAATCTTATTAAACTTCACAGTTACAATATAGTAAAAAAACGATATCTGATTAATTCTAGTTAAGTAAATATTCACGAGTATAATCATGCATAATATGTTGATATGATTACAATAAACATATGCACACACAAATACATATACAATATTCCTAGTTCACTTTTAAAGTAGAATGTATTAACTGAGAAGATAAGCTATGCTGAGGAAATCGGGCTAAAATTTACTCAAATAGTTGAATTCATGAGTCAATTTAAGCTAGACCGCCATAAAAAACTGGAAGCACTGGACGAACGTTTCGTCCTAGTATGTGACTCCTCAGTAGTGCTCATCCACGATCTCGCACCCGAGACTCAAACCCAGGACCTTCGGTCTGGCGTGCGAATTTAATCAGTCAGTTTATCCAATTAAATGATATTTAGTACTACCATAGGATTAGCATTCAGTTTACTGTTCTTGTTATGCTGCTACAGTTAACATTATTCAAAAACCTGAAAATGAAATATCTGAGAAGTAATTAGCTTCATAAGCGAAAATACATAAAACACGATATATGATAAGTAACCATATGGTTTGCAATAAGCGAACGAACTGACCGAGAATTTTAAGCAGACGTCAAAACGATGAATAGAAACTGGAAAGGATTGTTCAAGATAGAGTTTGGTGGAGAATGTTGGTGAACGACCTATGCTCCTCCACGGAGGTAACAAGCGTAAGTGAGTAGGTAAGTAAGTAAGTAATCATATGGTACAAATAATGTTCAATTAATGAGGTTCAAGTAAGAAGTTATTACTTTGCAATTAAATTGACTTTATGTAGTTTTGAATGTTTGTAGATAAACTGTAAACTTTAATATAAATCTCAACTGACTATGACTTATAATATATGCTTTTTTATTCTACTTCGCTTTGATTAACAAAAAATTGACTTAAAATAGAGTTCATGAATGTCCATTTGATAATTAAACAACCCTGTGCCGATTTGCCTCGATATATCCAGGAAGACACAAGTTAATAAAGAAAATATAGAATGTAGCTAGCAGTGGAATCCAGGACACGCGTTCAGTCCTATTTGGGGCCCGCTCACTGAGTGGACCTTCATGACTCGAACCCATTACCAATCGTTTCAATCCACATAGCGTTATTCACTAAGTTACCAAGTCTAAATAGTCACTGGGTCCCACTCTGCTAGCCACATTCCATCAATTTTGTAACTAAGTTACACCAACTAGATGAACATTTTCCCTATCAAGATTAAACATACATATGTTGGTTTTTGTTTGCGTCTACATAAAGTCAAGTGAAACGGAAACTATTTTATCAACAAAAAACGAACCGACAACGAAAGTACAATTCCACACTAACTAGCCCGTTGGCAGAGAGAGTACACCTGACCTGATTGAATTTGACGAGATTTAAAGATGAAAGTTTTAAAATATCTATATAAATACATCTACACTGAGATGGCGGTTGGAGGTATTCAACCACCATATGATCTTTACAAAATATTTAGGATCCATCTGTGAATATAAAACGATGAACTCAAAATCGAATCCCGTAAAATGCTAATCGTAACCTGAATACATATAACCTTAACAAAGTATGGTGTACATTCTAATTTTCGGAGAAACATATGCATGGTGAATGTTCTAGGTACGCTTAGATGATGGTAGTACACAAAGTATGAAAAAAAGTCGGATCATATTTCCTATAAAAACGAATACTTAGACGAGGATTGACTAAGGTTGGAAATGTAAATCTTGAGCTCTCCATGAAACTCCACAGTCGCAAGTTTTATTATATTTAAGCTCCCGGGTGTGTATTGATGATAAATATGGAACGACAATAGAATAGCTATTCAACGCTTCCTGGTTTTCAGTGATTTCACAACGGATGAAGACTATTTACAAAACCAAGACTTTTAAAAATGGTTTTTCATTCTGACATAATAAAAACACTGTTACAAAATTTACATGAATAAATTATTCGCAAGCGTATGTATAAAAACAGATTTTTCTTTTAAAAAAACTTGAAACAACACTCAAATGTTAGAGTTTATCAAAGAATTGATGTAAATCTACACTTGAAACAAACTAACCTGACTTAACGCACTAGCTAACTTTCTTAAAGACTCCAAAATAGATTGAGAATAATTTACAGAACAAGGAGACGAATAAATTATTGTCAAGAGCTTAGATTTTAATAAAGATTGAGTATTATAGTCAAATCGATCTTTCAAACATTTTGTATCGATAGATTTACATTGTTCTGGTGTCCAAAATGCTCGTGACAAGAAAATACGAGGAAAGGCAAAACTACAAAGAAAAAAATTAGAGTGAGAGGCTACAAGTTAGTGAATATCAGGAGTGCCATATATCACAGATTATTAATCACTCATTTTAATAACAAGAAAAAAGAAAAAAACTACTGAAATAGTTTGCTAACGATTCTTATTAATGCTTTGCACCATTAATGATTGCTTCCTCACAAAAAAGAACGTTCAATTCCAATTCAATCAACAAAAAAGCAGAGTAACTCTGGATTCACTACTAAGATCTATGTTATTTGAAATAATTAAATTTTAGAAAAGTAACAGTTTTTGTACTACTTAATGTCTGCATAGCATGAGCATATTGTTTTAAATGGCTAAATAAAAAAGAGTATTGACAGTCATTGTAAAGTCTTTGGACAAACACCTAGAAATGAATTTACTGAAAAATCCTAAACCTCCAACTTATACCCACATTTCTACTATTCAAATTTTGGTAAGATTTTAGGAATTAACGAATGAATTATAACAGCATTAAATGGGACTTTTCTTCGAACTAAACTTATTTTAGAAGCAAAAACTAAATGATTATTAGTCGAATCGAAATTAGATAAATATCTTTTTGAAGTTACTTTCCATTGAAACTAAAAGTTCACAGATACTTTTAGAAACAAATACATCGGAATGATTCATAGAAGAATCAAACACATTTCCATTTTAAAAATTACAAACTGTTAGGAATAAGAGTAGAAAGGAAATTATAAAACTTATATAGTTTTAGGACAGAACGCGCGTCCTGGATTTCAATGCTAGCCACTATTCAGCTTTGCTTAGAAAGCTTGTGACTTAAGGCTACATCGAAGCAATCCGTACAGGATGCACATATACCAACATGAGACTGATCAATTGCAGTACTAAATAACAATGGGAAGATACAAGTAAAATAACACCAAGTGAATTTAAACTTCACCCCATTGCACAAGCAGGTGGCTACCAGGACTCAATAGCTTAGTGGATAACGCGATAGCGTTTGAAGCGAACGGTACTGGGTTCGAGTTCCGGAGTTAATATCAACTCTATGATTCAGGTAAATCCAGCTGACGAGTCCCAAATAGGACGAAACGTGCGTCCTGGATTCCATTGCTAGCCACTATCCATCTTTGCTTAGAAAGCTTGTGACTTAAGGCTATATCGAGTCAATCCACATAGGTGCATATATTCTCACATGAGACTGATCAATTGCAGTACTAAATAACAATGGGAAGATACAAGTAAAACAACACCAAGTGAACTTATATAGTTATTCTTGGTATAATTAGTTTTTATTCATTAAACAAGTAATTTATGGTAATATTATTTTATGTCAATTGTAAGGTTTCCTATAATTCATTAACTATCATGATATATTTTGCCGCCAATAAATTACAGTTAATCAATTATTAAATTGTTATTCTACCTGATATCATGAATGTTCAATTTCTTTCCCCATTGAAACTGATTTATAGTGAGCTATGATCTTGCAATTTCCATCAATGATCAAGTGAATTTTTACATTAAAACAAATATATATACATCTATATGCAACGATAAGAAAAGTAAAGCCTAATCAAAGAATAGTATAAATAACAGTAAATAATTCTTTATCATGAATATAATTTCAATTATTATTCTAAAATCTGGAATCATTTTAAGTCACTATAATATTATTGCATTTTTGTAGGTATTACTTACAAGATTGGTAAAATTAGTATTGTTCCTGGTAATGGAGCAAGAAGCATTACAGGCAAAATCCTCACCAAATCTTTAGGCACCTGTAACAAAAGGAGCAAAATAAAGAGATTTATTCTACATACATTTTGATACTAATTAAAATGTTATTTGGTCGATTACAATTGAAAATGATAACCTCCATTTTCACCACTACAAGGGTAAAAACAAGAAAGACTCAAATTAATGTCTAGTTTGTCATAGTTACAATAAAATAAAACCTGTAGATTTAAAGAATATGTTAAGTAAAAACACAGAATTTTATTCGTAAAAGTTTGTATTTTCCCGTTGTTGACGTTAAAGATTGAAATGAATCGGTCATTATATGTATATATGCGTACTTGACGGATAACCTAGATACTACTATTTAGCCACAAATTTTTATTAATAGAAAAAAAAAGTGTAACCTGAATTTCACTGCAGCTACCATACAATTGTAAGAAGAACCACAGAAATCACTAAACTTTAAGAAGAGTGAACATTATTTAGCCCATTGTATAGAATAAAGCTAAAAAATAAAATAAATTATACCTGACGTAGGATATACACCTGATGTCTACTTAGAGTCGGTAGGATTTCTAAGATTGACTGAGAACGACAAGTAATATCTATCCATAACTGACTGAGGTCACCCAAATCTATCAACGTCGAGTGGACACCTGTAAATATATTCAAATATACAAGATTGATTGATGCATATTTTCTGTATATAATTTTTAAAAAGTTACACTAAACTGTGATCATTTTATTAAATAAAAATAAATGCTCACTTGTAGTAATTTAGATTCGTATCAGAAACTCTGCCCTTATATGTAGTAAGCTTTTTAAATGATGAATTGATAAAAAGTCTGAAATTCAATTCTCAACTTTTTCCGATAAAATCCACAATATTTTTAAGCAAATTTAACTCTTCCCCCCCCCCTCTATTTTATCTAGAATATATAGGAAATAATCATGATTAAATTATATTTCTATCATCAAAGTTGATCGAGGTCATTGCTACAAATCTAAAGAAAGGCAACCAAACAATTCGAGATAAACCTTCATTAAAGTTTTCATCTAGCTTAACTTTAACTATCATACGTCCTAATAAAATTACGTAGGTCAATAAATCTCTGCAGTTACTGCTTGATTGAGTATCATACAATAAACTTATTTACAGTTTGATATAAAATAGAGTAAACACATTTCAAGTGAAACTAATAGTGGTAAATGTTGATAAAAAAAATTATCCTTAATGATCTTTATGTTAAACTAACCTATTTAGTATTTTTATTTGATAATCTAAATGTGTTTTATTTACATATATAGGTGAACACGGAGTAAACTTAAAGACAATAACTTAATATCTACTACAATATTTCAAATGAATTAATCGTAGGTTCTTTTTTACTGGAAGTAATACATATTATGTACAATATACAATCAGAATAATAACACTGACCACTAGATAGATGATTCTGGTAAATAAGTTAATAAATTAAATAAACATATTTCTTCCTTGACTCACTGTATCATCATGTAATGAAAAAGAATACACTGAGATATCCTAATGTAAAAATAAATATTAACTACTATACATGGATGAACTGATCAGTGTTATCTTTTTCATAGTTTGCAGAGTCAGTATAGGCTTTGTTGAAGATTTTGTGTAATTTAAAGAAAAAAGAAAAAATCAACAAAATTGTCATAATAGATTCAGCTAATAGATTAAACATAACAAACAACCAGTAGAATTATCATCAACTATAAATAAGAACTATAAATTATTTTAACACAAATCAAGAAAAATTTATCTAAAACTTACCATTTTTAAATAATTTATAACTATGAAATGATGAAGCATATTTATTTGCCCATTTATTTTCCAAATATGTAACTAATTTTGTATACTTCTTTACTATACCCACTATAGTTTTAGTGATATACCTTTTAAACATAGATATTTATCAATATCTTGCACAAATAACAATATTGACCAAATCTTTTGGTAGACGAGAAGGCTAAAAATTTTAAAAAAAAAAGAACGCTGTAGAACATTTATGACATAGTTGTTAATACGAGTTAAACTCATATTTCGAAACAGAATAATTAACTAACAATCATGTCCTTGAAATTTAACAGGGCATCATTAGAGACATTTTTTTTAAAAATAAATAATGAGAAATTGTGCAATAATGAATTCACCTACAATGTAGTCTAAACTGCTTGATTTAAAGGATTGTTCATTTCATTGTATACTAGTACTAAGAGATTATAGCATAAATAAAATTTGAAGAAATTTTATTCAGGACTATAAAAGCACTAACTATCGATAAGAATTTTATAACATGAAACTATTCTGTCACTAAGATGCTTCTAACCACAGATACGAACTAAGATTAGACCAGTAAACAGAATCTTCACAGATACTTAACTGACCATCTATGAGGATTTTACACAATGGGTTTCCTTTACGAACTTGAAGGAAGTCAGAACAATAAATGAAGTGGGATAATATGAATTCATGATATTTTGTGGTTTCTCATCAGCTGCTTACAGCCATATGTATTAAAATGTATGATATAATAGGAAGCAATCGACACCGAATACTTTGAAACGAAACAACTACATGACTTTGTTGGAAGGTCACGCAGTATTATTAGCTTTTACATTTAAAGTGTGGCTCACGCTCAAATGCCTGCTTAATTAGTTTATTTACTTACATAATAATCAAAAAAAACTTTTGTTCTTGAGCAGTGACTGAAGAATGTCCATTTTTGTTTTAATTTGCTTTCATGACATCGATAAACAGGTGAGCTAAGTTTTTGTAATAGATGGCAGTGAAATCCAGGATATACATTTCATCAACGACGTACAAATCCAAACCCGTGTGAATAAAATAAAGTACATCCCCGTTAACCAAGTCAGTAGCAATATGAGTTCAATAGGTCGGTGGATAACGCGTTGGTGCTTGAAGCGAAATGCATTGAGCTCGAATATCTATGTGAACGTCAACAGTGAAAAGCCAGTGTATCCAGCTGATGATTCTCAGATATGACGAAACACACGTCCTGAATCCCGTTGCTAGCCACCATCAGAACTTCGCTCGTAAATTAGTGGTAATATCAGGGGAATCTAATTAGGGTCCACATACGCTAAAGGTGATCATTGGCAATCTTTAATATCAACAACGGGCGAATCCAAACCCTTACAAACGAGATGTAAACATTATACAAATGATTCTCTATATGGTGTGATTTCTGACTTAAAATCGTGAAATCTATACTACAAAGCATTTGAAAAGTGTCATAGTATCAAGGTAAATCAAACACGTTCGTCAAAACGGTAATCGAAGAATGAAAAACCCCAATTAGACACAAGCAATCGCGAAGAACTTCTGAAGCAATTCATTGCGATTAAAAAGATAGTGAAAACTTTTGTGGTAAGTGATAATTGAATACCCGATACTGAAGTAAGAATAAACTATCAGTACAAGTCCATATATAGTGACTAATCCTATTATGCAAAACAGTAACTGGTCCTTGTGCCCAGCCTTGATGTACTCTTTATTTGTGAGGGCTAATGTAATGCTCATTTAGCTAGTTAGTCATAAATAGGCAGATGGGGTTTGAACATACAGCTTAGTGGTTGATGGTCGACTGCTTTAACAGTTACAGCAACGCATTTTGATAATTAGGGATTCCAAGCTACAGTACTTCCTAATACTAATTGAACAAAAGTTGCCCAACATAGCTAATAACAAGCACTTTGGAGTATTAAGTGCGTCCCCTAAACATTTTTTAGATTTGTCGTACTTTACTCATGCCTGAAAAATTAAAAGTCTGACGCATAAAGTTGATTAGAGTGATCTGAAAAAGTTCTAAAAAGTAGCTTGAACAGGCGAATCTACGACGGCTCTAGATGCAGGTTTGAGCTGTGATCAAAATGCAGATTTCTACTTGGGGATTTGAGACATGAGATCGTACAAAAGGCTGAAATCCGAGGGTATTGGTGTACCCAACCTACTCCCTTTCCAAACATTGAGCAACTTGATGCTATATATGTCTATATACGTAAATGTTCATTTTGTCCGTTTTGACATTTCGCTAATTTTCTTGAGTTTCTGTATTTACACTGACGAAAAGTGTAACGATTCATGCTAGTGAGCTTTGTTCGATCCTCGATGCAATTGAACCTTAAATAGGCGGTTGAATAAGTTGTAAAATAAATCCTTCGTACAATATGACTCGGATCCACAGGGTTAGGTCTATTATGAGATTCAAATGAATAATTAAACCACAAAAGATACCCTACGTGTTATACTGGCCTGTAATTACACTGAACACATTCACAACTGGTCGATCACTGAGCAGTGACCAATGTTACATTGGTCTGGTCCTTTTGTACTGACCGAATCTTATCGACCAAGTTACAATGTGACCGACTAGTCTAAATGACTCGACATAGTGTGCACTATGTTTTGATGTTAGATGGTTGGTGCCAGTAGACAGGAAACCCTTAACTCTTTCGACTACTTATTAACTTATGTATTATTTCAACATAAACGTCGAACAAGAGCACTTTAAAATCCAAAGACTTATCAGCAAATCTAAGTTAAAACATTTTTCCCAAAAAGTCAGAATGAAAAATACATCACTACAACAAACTATATCAACAAATAGTTTTCATTCAATAAATACGATACGATAGATATTCAGTGTAATTTAAGAAATTTCGATTGGCAAACAATTATGATTCCCTGACAATCAGAAGTGTAAAGTAAGACAATAAGACAAAATCTTACAAATGAATTTAATTCATGATGCAAGTACTGTAGCACTCTTATATGCCAACCAAATCAAATGGTTGAAACTTAAATTATTTACTGAGTTATGTTATTAATTAATTAATTGATCATCATAATTCTAAAGGTCAACTACACTATCATTTTGGATTCACAAACCATTATAATAATATAAGAGAAATTCGACAAACTATATAACCATTTAAATATTCAGTACAAATATTAATGTAATATATTTTATTGGAAAAAAAAAGACAACTTTTATACAAAACATTATCTATTTAACAAAATATTAGGATGATAAATTTTTCATTGCTTTTTCGATAAGTAATCTTTTCTTATATTTTGCTGCACGTTTCTGATGTGATCTACTTTTTAAATGAGATTCCCAACCATCGATTTGTGTAAATATTCTATTTGAACATATTGAACAAATGAATGGAGAATTGTTGTTATTATTTGATTCAGTAAATGATTTAGGCAAAAGAAATGATTCTGCTTTAGGACAAGAATCTTCAGAACAAATATCAAGTAAACGTTTTAGATAATCATTGTTTTTTTTCAAGTTTTCAAAGAGTAAACCATCTATTTTCATTAATTCATTATAGACTAAGCGTACAGTTGGTGCAATAATTGTTTTATGCCAAATATCTGGAGATTCAGAGTTTAAGAAATCTGTCACATCTATACGATAAACAGGAATGCTACCTTCTATAGGACGTCGTAAAAATCGATTTCTAATCCAAGAAACCTGATAAAAATAAACATTAAGAATAGAATATTATACTTCATATTTAAGCAACATTAAATTTTCTAACAAAATAGAATCTAATATATGTTGTAAATCGGTGCATATTTTTACAGTACACAGAGAAATTTACCAAGGAAAAATTACTAAAACAAAAAAATATTACAGGTAAACATGAAGTAATAAAACGTGCGAAAATTGGAAAAAGAGTACACTAATCGTTTACGGTTACCAATCGAAATGGGTTAATGTTGAAATATATCGTATTAGATGATCGACAGTTAGAAACAATCAACAAAACACTCATTTTTTATTATTTCAATAAATGGATAGTCAGTGCTGTGATTACTTCTTCACAATACGATTTTAAATCATTTAAACTCCAGTAATTTCCACATTATTATATGCCCCTTATAGACTTAATGAATGGATAAAATGTTTAAAACACATTATTATGATTTTTTACTCTACACTGATTGATAATACACGTCAGTATAATAATAATAATTGTTATCGCCTTCATACTTTTAACGTATTCTTCATCTTTCTTATAATCGTCAAGTGGACATTTACTTTTCATCCTTATCTAAATTCTCGATCATTATGAAACTATGAGAACCAAGATTAGGCATTCGTTTTATTCTTTAAATAACTACTTTATTCGCTAATTAACTACAAATACAATTGTACAGTTTGAGTAAATGATATTGTAGAAAAAAAAACTTTCTTCGTTGAATTGTCATTAGTCTTTTTAATGACACCATGAGTTACGTTAATGGATAACTGAGCTTAACTCATTTCATGTTTATTAGTTATTAGCGTTTCCTCATTACGTCAGTACTTATGACTAGCTCTTTGATCTTTTGTTACTATCGTTGTTGTAGAATGCTCTACCACGGAAGATATATATCAGCAATATTTTTTATTTAGTCTCTGATATATTCAACTTGCTTACTATGATACGCTTATATATACTTAAAACTTTCAATTAAATTCATTTGTGTAGTTTGTAACGGATATCTGCGGGTTAATTTTACTGCTTCGCATACAAACTGATCGCATAGTCCTTAATATTAAGTAGTTACTATAATTCCTTTCCGACGTACAACCAGAAAAAAACACGTAGAGAGGGTAGAATGAATACTTTATTAATTACCATCCAAATAGATATGAAAACTGAACGAGCTACAGTCAGCTAAGTCAGTCAGTCACAACGTAGAACTTCGTACATACGTACATCAGTTCGAGTTTTCATACCTCATTAGCACAGAGATACAATTGTCGATTCAAATCCCATAGTGGTAGAGGTAGTAAGAGTATAAGCAGTAATCGGAGAGATTAGGGTTTGAAGATGTTATTGAAGGAGTATAATCCAGTGGAATAGATTTGGAAAAAATAAAGGACATGAAGAATTCAGAAGATTAGAGTTTGAGAGAACACAAAGTGTGGACGCATCTGCGCCATTGCAAACGATTTTGAGCCATGTCATTCAAGGTCTCTAACCATCGGTTGCTATCGTTTCGCGGACCCCAACCAGACAGTTTACATCTACCAATATGGCTCAGTCCACTTGTCAGTGATTTCATGGATTTGTGCCATGTTTCGGTCTGGCCGCCCCTAGTTTTCTTGCAACCTACTCCTACACCATAAAACATCGCAAGTCGGGGCATTCGGGGGTCGAGCATACGTAACACGTGTCCCAGCCATTTCAACTGATGAAGTTTCGCTACTTCATCAATTGATTTGCCATCCTTACCTAGTACCCGTTTCCTAACAATTGCATTACTTACTCGATGGTTCCAGGATATACGAGCAATGTTTCGAAGACATCTGTGGTCGAATACTAGTAACCTACGATTATCTTCTACTCTTGCCGGCTATGTTTCACTGCCATAAAGTCGGACGGAACGAACTGCTGCACAGTAAACCCGTCATTCGGTTGGTAGACGGATATCTCGCCTACGCCACAAATGACACAAGTTGGCAAAAGCTAGTCGAGCCTTCTGTATCCGTACTGAGATTTCGTCACATACCAGAACACATGGTGTGATGAGACTTCCGAGATAAGTGAAGCGGTCGACACGCTCAACTACTTCACTACCTATCATTAGTTCGGGTGTTGACGCAACCCAATCCTGAAGCAACACTGCTTTGCGAGGGAGAAAATCGCATGGCGAACATGCCTGCATTGTTGCTTAGAGTGGTCAGCAGACTCCGCATTTTGTCAGCGTCTTCATCAAATAGATCTATGTCATCGGCATATTCTAAGTCAACACATGAATCTCCCGGTAGAAGTTCAACTCCTAGAAATTTAGATGAGGAAAGTATCATCTCTAAAAGGACGTCAACAACAAAGTTAAACAAGAATGGAGAGAGTGGACAGTCCTGACGAACACCACTTGAGGTAATCAGTTCTGATGACAGTTCGCTATAAGCTCTTACTCGACCAGTTGTGTTCGAGTAGAGAGCTTTTATAAGGTTAATGTGCTTCTTTGGTACTCCTTTCAGTGACAAACACTGCCACAGAACCTCACGATCAACAGAGTCAAATGCCGCCTTAAGGTCGAGAAATACTACCATTGTGGGGCGTCTGAATGTGTGCCCATGTTCTAGGACCTGACATAGTGTGAATATCTGGTCTATACAACCACGTCCAGGTCAAAAACCAGCCTGGTTTTCTCTAGTCTGCTCTTCACGAGCTTTGCTTAGACGTCGAAGTATTATTGAAGCTAATATTTTAGACACTGTATTTCTGGTTAGCGTTTTTTTAGCGGGTTAGTTTTCTACGGGATGGGGTCGCTAACCCCATGCCCAACCCTCCTCCTTTATCCGGGCTTAGGACCGGCAGTAGCCCCCCGAAAGGGACTCCAGGAGGAGTTAGACACTATATTAGTCAAACTAATTCCTCTGTGATTGTCACAAGAGAAGACTTTTGTCCTTTCTTATAGACTGGCACAATCAGTGATTGAGACCAGTCAGATAGGATTACGTGCAGTTCCCAGATTCTAACTAAGACCTCAGTCAATCTCGCTGCTAATACTGGACCACCATCCTTAATAATCTCAGGGGTAAACCTGTCATAGCCTGCTGCTCTCCCACACTTCAGATTTCCTATAGCTTTTTCAACTTCGTAAAGAGTCGGAGGACTTACATAAACTTGCCATTCAGGTCGACCGAAGATTGTGGGGAACTGAAATTTGGCTGAAGGCCAGTTGGACTGATCCCTAAAGTGTACTGCCCATCGATCCAATCTCCTGGATTGAGAATCAATAATATATCCATTTTCTCTGAGATAGTTTCGCTAACAGTTGGGTTCCTAATACCGGTTTCCTTAACAAGTCTGAACAGTTGCATGCTGTTACCTATTGCCGCTGCCTTTTCCAGCTAAGTATGTAAATATATAGTGGAAGGACTCAATGATTCAGTAATTAGGTGGAATAAATATGTGACCAGATACGTAGATGTAGTAAAATATGTTTGTTTATAAGCACGCATGTATGAAGGCCAATCTCATTGAAATAATAAAAACAAAAACAAATTATTAAGGATTAAAATTGTACAGTTTATCTACCATATAAGCTAGTTTAAAGGATTAACTCACTTAAATGTATAGATAAAATTTTAGCAATTTTCGACTTGTTTTGTAATTAGAATTTTTAAATAATACATGTTGTAAAAAGATAAAGAGAATCTAACCAAATAACATGGATTCATGTTAATCTGTTCAAAAATCTTTATTCTTGTTCTCATCAAGATGATTAAGGAAGCTGTGTACATTGAAATGATATAATAATTATACAAATCTTACAAAATCTGCATGTTAAGATAAGTCAATAAAATATGGAATTCTGTAAATTATTAGTGAGTGATATTTATTTTTCAGTTCACATTGATTTATTGCATAACTATACTAAATTTTGCACACTAAATATACAGTATACTAAATTTTGTAAAGTAGTATTGTATGTGAACAAAAAATATTCAAAGAATCAAAGCCACAAAGGCATCTACGAGAATTATCAAGTGACATAAACCTGGTTCAAACTATGAGCAGATTACTGAGTTTATAGAAATTAAAGCCAACAAAGTCAACAATGCAATCACGATTAGGTATAACCGTTCAACAAAGAAATACCAATAAAAAAAAGAAATATAATCACCTGACGACGTGCATACTGTCGAGTGGCTGTTTTAACATTCTCTGTTGCTTGCTTTAAAAGAGTATTTGCCTCCGTAGTGTCACGTTCTTCTGGTAATAAAGCTAAATAATCTGAAAATTCTTTGAGCCCGATACTTTGAAGTAGGCCACGACGAGTCATAGGATCTGAGACTGACTCCAACTCTTGAGCAAACAATGCCCTTAATTTTTCCACTCTAGTTCGTTTTGCAATGTCTGAATTTAGCGAAATGAAATGAAGAATGATAAGCATAAAGATGTTTAAAACCGTAAGTGGTAGGGTTCGCGACAGGCATAATGATTGTACGCAGCTTCATTAATACTTATTTGCCAGTGTTTACCAGCACATGAATATATATCGATCATCACATCAATTTTCATACTTATTTAAGTAGTAAATTGATTAACCGAGACTGAACTATATAAACTTTCAATCTTAGCCTAACTTGTGATGACTTAACAGTTCGGAGTTACCTATGTACTCATTTCATGAATCTTAACAATAGATTACTAGTCCGTTATATTGCTACTAGTCGGAATAACCAAAATGATGATAACCAAGCGATAGATAAGTTCCTAACATATGGTATGAGGCAACTAGCTACAAGTTATAAGATTAGAAATTACATATTTATATGCATTTCTTCTGTTAAATAGAAAAACATATCAGTTCTATTTAAACAGGCTGTATAAAAGATCAACTAACTATTCAATAATTCTAAAATCATGGAGATTTACAGCTTAAGTGGATGCTTTTAATAACGCTGTGTTCTCCAAACTAGAGGAGGAAAAGCTTTCATTGTCATTCTAGACGGCATCCCAAAGCACTTATACACAAAGAATTTTATTAAGTTGAAGAAGTGTTTTGCTGACTTCTACTTGAATGCTGATGGATGATAACAATCAGTTAGAAGTGTCAGGGTTGTACTTAACACTTCACTAACATACAAATACCCCAGATGCCCTGCTACGATCAAAAGTGGGGAGAGTCTGTTTTCCCTCTCAAAATACTATAACATGGCCACGCGTATACAGCCACTGATAAGGAAGTCCTACTCACTGTCTTCTCTGTTGAAAGGACACTTCACGCCTCCAAGTTGCTTCATTTAAGGCGTAGGCGAGATATACGTCTACCAAACAAAGGACGTAGTTACTGCGCAGTGGTTCATTCCGTCCTACTTGGCCGGTAGGTAAGAGTAGGGCATATTCGTAGGTTACGAGTATTCGACCACAGATGTCTTCGAAACATTGCTCGTATATCCTGGAACCATCGAGTAAGTAATGCAATTGTTAGGAAACGGGTACTAGGTAAGGATGGCAAATCAATTGATGAAGTAGCGAAACTTCATCAGTTGAAATGGCTGGGACACGTGTTACGTATGCTCGACCACCGAATGCCCCGACTTGCGATGTTTTATGGTGTAGGAGTAGGTTGCAAGAAAACTAGGGGCGGCCAGACCGAAACATGGCACAAATCCATGAAATCACTGACAAGTGGACTGAGCCATATTGGTAGATGTAAACTGTCTGGTTGGGGTCCGCGAAACGATAGCAACCGATGGTTAGAGACCTTGAATGACATGGCTCAAAATCGTTTGCAATGGCGCAGATGCGTCCACACTTTGTGTTCTCTCAAACTCTAATCTTCTGAATTCTTCATGTCCTTTATTTTTTCCAAATCTATTCCACTGGATTATACTCCTTTAATAACATCTTCAAACCCTAATCTCTCCGATTACTGCTTATACTCTTACTACCTCTACCACTATGGGATTTGAATTGACAATTGTATCTCTGTGCTAATGAGGTATGAAAACTCGAACTGATGTACGTACGTACGAAGTTCTACGTTGTGACTGACTGACTGACTGACCTGATCCCTAAACCGAATATTATAAATCTCTTATCCCCCTCCCAATTCCTTCTGTGTTTACATCTTTCTTAATCTGAACACCTATCTTTCCCGATTGACATGAATTATTTTTTACCGTAATTACCTAGATAACACACCTCTTATTACATATTATATTCACACGATATTATTATCGTTATTATTAATAATATTATTATTACTATTACCATCACCTAGATTAACAAGATCAAATTCACCTACTATGCATTCTACTCACATGATTTTTTATTTTGTTATATTACTATTATACTCAATATGATTCGACACTACTACAAACCATTCTGACCTCGATTAAATGACTTTTGTAATTTATAAGTAATACAATTTTGAAGTATACATGTCGTAACAGATACAAACATTCACTATTTTTGACACGTAACATTGTCAAACTCATTAATGGATACCTTAACTTATTTTGGCCCTTGTAAAATATCGTAATTATGGATTTACAACTGCAGAGCCTGATGATCAAGTTATTGAAAGCAATTGTTCACTCGAATATTCTTTATTTTTGAATATCTTAGATAAATTTGTGTCATATTGGCTATATCGAGGCAATCTGCACAGAATTCACATATGCCAACTAAGATTGATCAAATCTCAAACAAAATATCAACAGCGGGATAATCCATACCATCAGCAATCAAACAAAAAAATTTATATCCAAAAGACTTTTTTCTTACCAGGCGTATCAGATGTTTCAGTCTCACTAGATCTATGTGGCAAAACATTCACTTTGTCGAGAAAAGTGTCCAATTCATCAACTAACCCGGAATCCAACATTATATTCACTCGCTTATTCAATTGAGTATTCAAAACATCGGAAGCACAGTCCAGCCATAATATGAGTGACTCTCCAGGATATCGAGGTTTAATAGATCTATTTATAACTTGTTTTCCCAAATCTACATTTTCTATATTTCCATTCAATTCAGTCTGTGTTTTAGTCTGAATAGATTCCTTCAGAACATCGAGAAGTGCTTTTCTTACTTTACGAACATTATTCGGATGCAACTGTGCGGCTACATCTGGTTTCAGAGTACGCAAAAGATCATAGCATTCTAATGGATGCCTAAGAGAAACTTCACTGAAACATTGAAAATACGAAAAGGATAAAATATAATCCAGAGAATTACAAAACATTAGCTTTCAAAATAATAAATAGTATTTGAGCAAACAATTAGATGATCCTATTCACTGAGTTACAGTTAACATTAGAAAATAATGAAGACGCTATTACGATTACTCATTCAAAAGCGTAATACACTGTGGCATTAGACAAATGAATATTTAAACCATGTGATTTCAGAAAAGCTTATTCAAGTAAGAAACTGGTAAAAAATGAACAATGATGCAATTTTACACATACATTTACAACAAACAAAATCAAATGAATAAGAATAACTAACTAAACCTTAATGTGAAAACAAAATCCATCCATCTTCGGGACTAGGATCTATTTCTCCATAGAACGAGATCTGAGGAATGGACTTGAACTTATGATTCAAAAAAAGGAGACTTTTAATAATACGATTAAAAACCGATCGAACTGCACCAAATGCGTTTATTCATTACCGTCTAAGCCTTTAAATATACCATTATCATTATGATTGACTCTATCCATTCTTTTAGACTTTTTCCAATAATGCTGATAATATTGTTTTAACCTCTTCCATTTTTTTGGGCTGATATTCTTTAATTATACAACTGTGAATGTAGCAACACAGTTGTTTGGTAGGCAAAACCTCTCGCTTTTGATGATTGGATTTCGCGTTTGAACCTAACTCCGGTTACTTTAGTCCAAGATGTCACACAAAATATGCAATTTTAAGCAGACTACATGAATCTGAACTCGGTAAATGAGTTCTATTACGAAGTTGTATTAATTCACAGTTGTGCTAAGACTGTTCATCTGCCCAGTTTTCATTGCTCGAACGTACATTTTATTCTAAGAACTGGATAACGTGGTATTTAATTAAAAGGATTATCCTTTTGTTTCTCGATTCAGATTTAACAATGAATTAGATTTAACATTTAAACACCATGTAACAAAACATGATGAAAGTGCATACACTGAGTGTAAGACCCTTTAAGGATGGTTACGAACTACATGTCAGGTATGATGGGAAAATCTTAAATCATAGAACAGTAAGTGACATAAGAAAATTGATTTCCTTCAATCCCTAAAGATATTTATTCATGTTTATTCTTCTGTTAATATCTGAGTGTAAGCAGGCCATTTTACTAAGCAACCAGTCTCATCAGCAATGTATCGTCATGTTCATCTGTCGGTTGGAATTCCATTAATTTATTTTAACAATACAAAACCCGTTCATCAAACCACAAAACCCTCATTGAAGTGAGATCTTTAGGTAGTAAAAGATTAAAAGCAACAGGAAATAAACACTAAATCAAGGCTCCATATATTTATTTATATGATTTTTTTAATTCAAAGAGAACCTGTTATTTATTTAAAAACACAAACATTGGCACAAAAAGGCACGCAATATATATGCGCCACACTTCATCATTCGATTTGTGTGTGTGCTGGAATACTGTCCGGATGCCCAAACCGAGACAAGTGGTTTTCTTAGGAGGCCACACCCGGAGACTTTGATCTAAAGGTCTGACCCACACGGCAGTGGAGCAACGTAAGGAGATGCAGTCCCATGGTAGCCGGTGATCAACAATAGGTTCACACATCATTTGTTCCCTCAGGATCCTGGAGTCCATGTACACGATTAGTTTGGAGTCAGGGTTTTCCAACTCTCGTACATCGACCCTTCATAACCGCCAACATGGTTAAAGTACCAGACATTCGCTTTTCGTCCTCTCAATTTCGTAAACAACACCCCTGCCACGAGAAGACAGTGAGTAGGACTTCCTTGTCAGTGGCTGTATACGCGTGGCCATGTTAGAGTATTTTGAGAGGGGGAACAGACTCTCCCCACTTTTGACCGTAGCAGAGCATTTAAAGGGATGACTCTCTAAATCTAAAATAAAATGTTACTTTAAGGGTTCGAATCCTAACATTTTATTTCTGTAGTTAGAGATGTTATCAACCATTTACTAATCCCATGAACGATTTAAATTTAGCTAACTCCTCCTAACTCCCGATACAAAACAACCAATCGCCACAACAAATCCTTTTGCTTGGTGACCATAGTGTACAATCCGAATGCAAGTTGGAGTTAGGAAGTACACTACAGTATTGGTCACTATCTGACTACATTGAATTTTATGAAGTAGATGAAAGGATTATAAAAAGAAAAATACTTACGAATACCTCAAACTATCAATTTTAAAGTAATTAGTCCGCTTGATAAATTTGGATTATCAGAACTATGTGATATATCAGCGCAAGACATTCCGAACAATGTGATAACAGCCATACTTGTTAAAAGCATTTATATACAAAAAAGGTCAACTAGACAAATGAAATGTAAGAGGGATGTTCTTAACTAGTATACGTGTTCAGACTGTTCGGAATGTTTTGCGCTAATATATCACATAGCTCGGATAATCTTCGTTTTCATATTACACTATCCAAATTTGTTTATTTTAATCCAAAATGCCTTATCATTTTCAAAAATGCACTGTATAAAAGTAGATAAAAACCAAGGACATCCAGTAATAAAGAATATATGCTAAATGTAAAAGAAGTTAACGAATATAATTACCAGTGTAATTAACAGATTAAGATACCTATCGAATTCACTTGTTGTATCGAAAACAGTACGTTTCGAAGCTAGAAAATCTTGCCATAAAATAGCTTCCAAATAATAATGAGTCCCACCAACAAGAATAGGTAACTTCTTCCTGATATTTCTTATATTTTCAATCAGCGGTAAACAGATGTCTCGATATGAATGAACATCATATCTATGTCCGAATTCCGGAGGATAAATCCCTATAAGATGGTGTGGGACACCTAAACACTCGACATGTGATATCTAGAATGAAAATTAAAAGAGAGCACTAATTAAATAGCCTTGTTCTTCTAAACCGTCTGTCAAGAAAAATTTAATTTCCCAAAGAATGAAAATAAATTTTGGATCGAAATTTGTATTAGATGGAAGCAATTTTGCTCCATGCTAATGATACCTGGCTTCTCCAAGTTGATGATGTTAAGCATCTCTCTGTGTCTGGTCATCGTTGTCTCCGAAGGATTGCTAGCATCCAGTCGCAAGCCTATGTTAGTAATGCAGAGGTCCGGTAACGTGTTCTGACACAGCAACGATAATTCAGTTGGTGTCACCATCTTGAAACATCGACTTCGATAGTTTGAACATGACCTACAAATGTCGTCCCGGCGAATTCCATATCTTGCATTACTTGCCGACGCTGGGACAGGTTGGAAAAAGCGGAGAGGTAGTCAATGTATGAAATGGTTCCGTTGTATAGGAGAAAGCCGGACAGGACTGGATTCCGTTGGTCCTTTACGACTCCCTGGTTGTGGTCCTAGAAATGGTACAACTCAGTGTTACGATTTTATGTCCAGCTTACGATTACGTGACTTATCCACGAATTAGAATACGACTTATACGAATCTTCGCACTATGACAGAACCAATGACGTTCAACCGGTCTGCGCAGTCTAGCGTCCTTATTGGGTCCTATGTCCTTCTAACCCGTCCTCTTTAGTCCAGAACACAATACCAGCTTCCGTAATATGAATCGAATCATTTATTTCAGACATACTCGGTTTATATATCGATCAGGCAGACCACAACGTACCATAAAATAGAAAATAACATATGTACACAAATAAGCCAAAAAGTGGCTGTGAACGCGGGAGATGGTAATTAATAGACAGACCATAACTCAAGAATAATAAATCGTATAGTAATAATCTATAGGTCAAATTAAAGCTTATAATAAGTGGAATATAAATACACATAATATAATTCTTGAATAATTATACAATAAGAATATTTATAGAATATTAGTCCATTAGTAGTCCTCGAAAGTTACCTGTAGTTTAATCTTCACTGGGATATAACACTCAGTGGCTACAGACGTTATCAGACATGGCTCAGAATAGAAGCCAGTGAAGATCCTGCTATGATTTTTTTACTTTCTCCATAAGAGTGAACGTAACTTCTTTAACTGAAAGAATTCTTCTGGGTTATATTTTTCTAACTGAACTGTTTCTCCCATTATTATCATTACTATTTCACTCGCGTTAATTCCTGTTCATTGTTGTTTTTTTTGTACGCACTTTACAGCCTATCGTGATGAAGCAACTGAGCTATACTGGCTGGAACAACCGTTCCTCAAGGTCCTACAATGCCAAACAGGTCGGTTGAAGAGCGGTAAGATTAAAAGCAACAAATCTAAGGTCCGAAGGCGAAGTCGTACTGCTGACTGTACAGAGGTGTGACAGCAGTAAAGTGTTTCCTTCAGACAACCAGCATGACAGCGATGCTGCCTTCCCACAAGGAAGGGTGGGGTTAGAAAAGGTCGACCCTAAAATTGCACACCTCGCCCTATCCCAAGGATATCCGTCTCCGGCGGTAAGGTCTCAACAAGTACGGAGCTAACACAAAAATTGCTCATAAAATGGTCGTGTGTGACCGACCTCAAGCAGCTGTCCCTTGGGCACTGCGGTCACGCTCTCAGGTCACTAAGACCACCTCTAATCCAATTTCGTTTTCAGGTATCTCCAGAAGAACCCTTCCACGGTGTGGGCAACCGGGAAGTGATAACCGCCCTTATACCTCTAACAGCACTCAAGACCACTGTATTGATAATCAACCTCCCTGACTGACTGACATCCTTTATGTCTTCACAACCTCATTGTTATTTTGTTGCATATGTGTATTCGGTGTCCCCTTGCACCAATGTTTGTATACAAATAAGTAAATGAAAATAATTAGATATTACATCCACTGATATCAGGTTTGGTCTTTGGAAACAAATGTAATTTCCAACTCTAACTAAATGTCTGAAAATGAGTCCAAAATCCCGAATAAATTGATTATTTAGTTGGTTACGTTTCCTTACTTGATTTACCGCGAACCCTTCCAGTCAATGAATGCTAGTAAACGGTGAAGATATCAAACCAATATTGTATACCGATAATTGAATACAGCCACACTTTTATTTCAAGTTGCATAGATGTAACTGGTCTTGGCACAGTAGTAGGAACCTAGAGACTTAGGTATCTAAAACAAAAAAGCTTTATACGACATTTCTGTTAGCAAAGAAACTAGTAAGTGATTACGTACGAAATGGTCACTGCTACATACCTACATTATACGAATGTTAATTCTGTAATTCGTAAGCTTAATAACGAATTGTATGATTATTTACTGCAGTTAGAGCCCCGCTTCTTTTTTGATGGTGAAAGACACTACTCAGAAGTCTGAACCACATCAGTGAGGCAGAATTCAAATATGAGAATTAATTCAAAGACACAATGCTGAAACTATTGGGTGTTTTACACCGATTTTATACACTTTTAATGTATTCAAATTAAAAACTATTCCACTGATCAACAGGGAAATCTCATGAATAGATCATGAATTTAACCACTGAATTAAAATTCCAAACACACAGTTACTGCATAATTACGTCGGTTATTCTGCATGATAACCCCATCTCTCTGACAGTACACATGACTAGAAATAATACTGCGCTACTGAATCACTACTAAACCAGGAGAATCCTTCAAGGTACAACACTTACACCACGATATTATTAGTGACTCCCTGAAATTCAAAATGAAACAAATCTAACAAAGCCATAACTCACCTTGTTTGTTGCAATATCTATCCCACTATACAACTGAAGAGCGTCAAAATTGACGACCTCACCTCCGAAAACATTGGCGAGGTTTACTGCTAGTTTTGATTTCCCAGTCCCAGTGGCTCCACAAATAGCAATAACAGGAAGCTGGCGAAGTGAACCAAGGTGACATGACTGCCCAAGCATATGGAATAAAAACAGTCTAAGTAAGATTATCTTTTAAAATGCTATCTTACCGTGAACTAAAAGCAAAATTTGGCACAAAAAACATGCACCGAAACGGCGCTTGGGTAGTATGTACAACTGAACGAGATAACTGGTTGAGAATAATGAAAGAGTACCTGAAAGAGAGGAAGTGGTGAATAGGTTACAAGTGTTTTACTATTATACATGTAGCTAATAGATGAAATGATATGCTGACGGAAGAGAATTAAGTCTTTTTGCTACAATGACCCAAAAACTATTGAGTGGTTTCGACAGAAAACGTCATACCAGGACCTTGTAGTGTTGGCGTTTGATGTAGATGTCAGTCAGTCAGCTGCAACGTAGGACCAGGCACGTATATGCATCGGTCCAAGTTGCCATACCGCATTTGCACAACAAGATGAACACCGGATTCATAGGAGTAGTTAATTCAATGGTGGTAATATATAGAAGAAAGATTGTGTATAAGGAGATAGTAAAGGAAGAAAGCTTTGAATTTAAATACTGTATTAGCAATATAACCCGGAGTTAAAGTGAATAAACTGACCATGAGCAGCCAACCACAACATACATGTCGATAGTACGGCTTGTTAAATATATCTGTTCCCGTCTATCACTCCACCACAAAATACAACTGAACTATAAGGGCAAGTATGAGAAACCCTTCAAATGACTTTGACAGGTTCTGAGTCCATACAGTCAACCTAAGAGCAGAACATAAAAATGAAAGATTTATAATATTAAGACCAGGACTACGGTTAAGAATTAGGATGTGAAACAGAATCCAAACCCTATACTTTAACTAAATACCATAACTCCGAATACAAACCTTGATTATAAATCCTATATTTTACATCATAATCCTAAGGCCGACCCAAAACTTAAGTTCTTAATGATGCATTCATCAATAGAAGTAGTCAAAACTTTTTTCGGAGTCAGATTATTAACAACACAGTTGATGAGCAACAGTTCCTCAGTGGGACCATCAATTTCATAATTGAGATGCTGATGAAGTGCTGCTTTAACACATCAGCTTCGGTTTGGATGGGACAAAAAACTGGGTGGCCTATATCAGCCATGATAACCGTGATCTCTCAGTTAATCCAACACTACTTTGAATGGGTCCACAGATGAAGCTTCGATTACGCAACGTGTTAATGAATTCTATTCGTTGATGATTCGATAAGAAAGTCGATAACCAGCTAACAAGTAATTTGTTCTGGGCTTGTAAACCTTTTTAGGATGTCCTCGTAAATTGTTTTGGAAAACAAGGAAAATGAGGTTGTGTCAGATGAAAATTAATCACTTGGTAATTTAAAAACTGTGATTACATCACCTTTAGTTCTTCTACACGACAAGGAAATTAGGTGTATTTTATTCAGTCTCTCGTCATACGGCAGCATTTTTATTTCAAGGATCAACTTAGTTGCGGTCCTTTGAACCTTCTCCAACAACTTGTCTTTTTTATTCAGGAGCTGGCTATTTGTATGGAATACCCGAGTCCGGGGCGAACGAACGCTGTCTAGAAAGTCAAAAAGGTCTTAGAATCGATACGACTAAAAGCTCTAGGTATTAACATAGGGTTCCGAAAACTTGAGCGGATATCGCACGGCAGTGTGCAGTAGTTTTTAAGTCTTGGATAATGATGACTTCTAGGTCACTGTGTTTGGAAGATAGGTAGCTCAACGTTATTTACCATGTATGCAACTATCTTAATGACCAATATGCATCATAATGCATTTTGGGGGCATTAATGCTTCCAAACAGATAAATTTATCGGTAACTGTCAAATTCCAAGCCACTCAGATAATTTTTCCAGGTAATTTAAGCAATCAACGCTTTTTATCGCTCTTCATATCTCGATATTGTTAGCATACAACAAAATCGACGACGATAGGAGACTAGAAGTCATTTACATACAGAGGGAACAAAACTGGCCCATAAATCGTTCCCTGGGCCGTTGCTACGGCGAACAGATACGCGCGTCAACCACTGGAGTTTTTAAAGTCCAGCTTTACTCGCACGGTGCAACTTCCAAAACCATGCCTTTTGTAGCACAAGATGGTAACACAGATTCAGGCTTTCTTGTAATGTCCACTCTATGGTAGGATTGAGTTTAACCAAAATGTATCTATCGTTGGAGCATTAAATAAGTTATCTGGGCAAAAATCGGGAGCTGATGACTCAGCAAGCACACAGAATACGCTAATATTTAGTAACGAAAGCAATTGATAACTAGCAAATATGACACGAGCGTGAGATTAAGAAAATCTGATAATCGAAGCAAGTGTCGGGTTTCAAACATGGTACATTGCTTCTCCTTTGTATTAATGCTCCTGAGTGGTCTTGTTCGCGGCTGGCAGTCCATATTCGAGCGTTCAATAGAAATAGCTATAATTTTTGGGAATTTTTTGATCATTTATTGGGGCTAAGGCTGCATAAAATAATGTACCTATCACTTGAGATTTTACTCTGATCATGTAATGTATTTTTATAGGATTCTGTGGTGGACTAAATATATCAATTCCCAAATAATGATAAAGATTTCACGAAAAATGACTACTCAATAAACCAATAAAGATTAAATAAAGGTAAATTTGAGGAAATAAGAAGGACGATAGTGTAAATAAAAGAGAAAAGTCGATTTTCGGGAAGATATCCGTTTTTCCTTCTTATATAGAGCATTTGGTGGAAATTTGTAGACAAATATACGTGACGCACCAAGTTTGAATATGCCACTTACTGCACTTAGGTTTTCATAAATCACTCAGTAATAACGTCTTGTTTAATAACAAAATTGAGACATTATCACATATACATGTCTAGATATGCAAACATAGGAAATTTCTTGAGATGTATATGCGAAAACTTTGTTGTTATGCTAGAACGACGAGGTACTAAGATGGTACAAGGTCTATCTGGCATATCTTATGAAGACAGACTGAGACACCTTAAATTATTTCCGTTATCTTACGGAGTGGTCTACTATTGGCTTATCGTATACCGAACGATGACCTTGGTATTAACATGTCTTATCTTTTACTTCCGTCTAGGACTGATCATTTGAGGGTACATCCGAAGATAGTTAAAAATCGAGATCAAATCGTTTATGTTTGAGTTTCGTTTCTCTCACTGAGTAGTAAAATACTGGAAATTTCTACCAGAACACGTAATATCAGCACCTTCTGTTGAAATATTCAAAACGAGATTGGACCTCCAAAGTATTACAAACTGCAAGGATTAATATATGTCGATAGACCTCCTATCCTTATGACTGAAGACTGAAGATTGATCAGTAATTGAATCTGGCAGAGATTTATACTGTAATAATAGCAGCTGATACTGAAATTAATTGTAATGAGAATCTATCAACTATAATAGTGTAGCGGTAAATAAATCCCCAAAATAAATAGCTCTGTAAGTTTTCGACATTGGATGCTGACCACATTAGCTTTAATGGACTCATCTAGCTGAAGGCGCTTGGTCATGCATCCGCACCAGATCACGTGTGGTAACGCCGTGCTCAACATCTACTGCAACCGTTAGCCAAATTAGATCAGACGATCCTCGATATATTGATAGCCTATCAAATATATCTTCGAACCTCTTCGCTTCTGTCTTTTAATTTCACTTGGTGGATACTCTTCATATTAGAAGGTGTTATTGGTTAAAGCGTTGTCAAACTCCAAATACCTGTGGAATCTTCAATAGCATCCGGTAGCCACGATAATGAAAGGTCCTTGGATGATAATAGAATGTGAACGAAGTGAATTCGTTAATCCAATTCTTGTAATGGCGTTTATTTATGTTCTCAAAGTTCATAAACCGGAAAGAACAGATAAATATGGAATTGATTAATTTGATAACATCATAGATGTTGACCGCGTCCTGAATGCATTTCGAGATCTTGTACCTGATATACCAAGCAGCGATGAAAGTTTGCTACGAACGCGCACATGTGTTCAACTCAAGTTCATCAGCAGTAGTATTTGCTACCACCTCTGATTGAAGACCAATATATTAAGATATGCTGAACTTTAGCTGGGTACTTTTTGTTTTGACGCACTGAACCTGTATATTAATATAAACGGACTTTCAATTTCAAAGAGATCTATTCAACAATTATGACCTATATTATGACGCATCGTTGCCTCTAGGTTCAGTGATATGTTTATGACATTGCATCTATGGAGGGAATGCTAAACAGACCGGACTTAACGAACTATCTGCAGACACTATTTCTGAACTGAAAGAAGTGAGGGGTGTGAACCTGCATACTGCTAAGTTCAACAATTACATAAAATATCATAATTATGGTCATATAACTGTAGAGCCTGATGATGAAGTTTTTGAAAACAATTGTTCGCTCAAATATTCCTAATTTTTTAAGTGCACAACTATCGAACTGGTATTCATAATTTGTGACGCACCTGCTGGTCTGGATGTTACATACACATTTCAATCATAATGGGAAAGCGGCTTATGGTAAGTATGTGGTAGTTGGTCGGCGACTTGGAGGAAGGATGATCTTCCTGATGGTGGTATGTAGTGGCATTGGGCTATGACCACACAATCACAAAAGCTGAACACAAGACAATCGGAGAAACAGATGTCCAACATCATAGTTGGTCCTAATTCAACAGACATACATTGCAAATCGATAGTAGTTTTCCTCAGTACATTCAATTAATTCACTATCAAGGCTATTCCAGCTTCCGAACACTCGAAATTAATGTGTATTTAGCATTCCCTTTAGATTCAAAGCACATGGTATACTTAAATGTGACATAGAGATTATTCAGTCTATGTTATATTTTTCTCAAAAAGACCTAGAAACACAGATAAATCTGGTTATAGATTCATGTTATGAAGCAAGTAATCCACTTGACTTTAGACATAAATGTCGGACATTAAACTTCATCTCAGTATGATATGCAATATAGTGTCTCTTGTTCCTTCTGCATTTGGGCCTCGTAGTTCCTAAACATTGTCAACTACGACTAACCCTAAACCCTAACCCTTCCCTTGCACTTTATACTATAGTCAATTAAAGCATTGCATCGATGCTTTACCCGCAGTCCATAACTTGTAACTGCCTGATAAGCTTGTAAAACGGCACTTATAGAAATAGTGTTTTCCAACAGGATGTGAAACACAGAGCATTGTGTGAGGTATGACATATATGCAAAAATAAGCTTAAATGAACCTAACATTACAAAAGGAGGGAGGGTGGAGTTAGTTACCAGCAAGCATTGATGGTGAGGGCGATGACTTCAATCAATGCAAGTTTGTGGGGCAGAACATTTTGTTTGTATCGGGCTCTTCATGATTGAGAACAAGTCAATCAATCTGTGATATTGAGGTTGTTCTCCTACGTTCATCATTTCAGACTCATGTTTCCAATTTTACGCTGGATTCAAGTCATCGCCCTCACAATCAATGCTTGCTGGTAACTAACTACACCCTCCCTCCTTTTGTAATGTTAGGTTTATTTAAGCTTATTTTTGCATATATGTCATACCTCACACAATGCTCTGTGTTTCATATCCTGTTGGAAAACACTTGTAATGACCTACTTTTGTCAACAGAACGCGATTGGTTCGATGAAAACAATTATTATCATTACCAATTGTACCAGTGATTGTTTTACTGTGCTCGTTTGTTTAACTGTTCTAATGACAGCCATTTTGACCTTCCATTGGACTCCATTAATTTTGCGCAGTTTGTGACTTTACGCACGTACTTTCTCCTGCCAATCCCACTTGTACTCCTTTGGCACGATCTCGGTATTCTTTCCATACCACGAGATTGGCAGCAAATATATCTCGACTACAGCCATCATCTGTCTTCTGGTTTTGACCTACGGGAATCTTATTGGTTTACTGGCACGTAGTCTTGTAGCGGTGTTCATAATCAAGCGCGATTCGACACCACGCTACACACTATTACTATAAGTACCGTTTTACAAACTTATCAGGCAGTTACAAGTTATGGACTGCGGGTAAGACATCGATGCAATGCTTTAATTGACTAGTATAAAGTATATTTTGCCAATCAGGGTATAATCATTAAGAAGGGTATAATGTAGGATAGTTGTTTATCAAAGCAGGCGGAAAAGTTTAGCAGTATATGAGTTGTGGATAATGTAACGCGTGGAGAAGTAATATTAATTGCTTGTCAACATAGTGTACAGGAGAGTTAAAAGCTAATAAGGAATAGATAGGAAGAAACACTAACTTGGTGCTGACGTTATTTTGTGTTGTCCTAACCAGTTGATGGGTAACAGGCTCCATAGATGCAAGACTACTGGTAGTAGGCAGTCGATTGTGCGGTTCTCTTGACGTTTTAGGGTGGTAGTGAGTGTCTCTGAGCGACCGAGTTTAATTGAACAGTATCTATAGGGTCGGTGAGTTACTTGTCTACTTCAAGTGAAGAAAAAGGGTGGAAAAGTAACTAATACAACCGCAAAGTAGGAAAAATAAAGCAAACTGAACTTGAAGTCCATTTTGGTCTGGACATGTAGAAAGCCTATGATGTCTGGGTGGGGCGCAGATGTGTTCGTACGTGCTAGATCAGTGCAAATGAGCGCTTGATCAAGCAGTTTTACAAACGTATACAATTCATCTATCATGCGTATTTCGGAGGGAAGACTGTTTCACATTACATTTCATCCTGAAAAAAATTTTCGACGGACATTTACCATATAATAATATTCCTATCGCGGACTTAAGTCTTAAAAAGATCTGAAATTTATCATATACTCATAGTCTCTGATCCTTGTATTAACAAGGATGATAAATAATAACAACTGAAATGCAGATATTATATTTAGTTTAATGAGCCTTCTACTCATCCAGTTTAAAATAATGACTAATAACTCCAGTAAATGAGAAATTTCACTAAATTTTAAGACAAATATAAAGTCCGAATCTGTAATCCCTTTATCTACTGAATAATATGAGTCTCACCAACAGATGTCGCTATCATTATATGATTTTCGATATTACAACCCCTCCATCTCTTCGTGCAGCATGCCAACGTTAAGACTGTTTGACATACAATGCACAATACCCACATGCATCGAAAATTGAGAACAGTCTGCAAATCAGCTTGTTTTACGAAGGCTCAAATTTGAAATTTCACAAACTAAACATTCTAATAGTTCATCCCATATATACGAAAATACCGATGGATATAGTACTGACATCCGTCAACTACAAAACTCTCTAGCCGAAATAAATGGAAGACTTGAGCAACTAACACTCCTCACAAATATATGGGGCCCTGACACTGATAGGAATCTTGAGCAACATACAAAAGCTGAATGTATTTTGAAGTTTGTGACTGAAGAAGTGACGAAAGGAGCAATGTTCTCTTCAATGAAGTTGCGTAAAACCTCCCGACCGCACACACCCGTCCAAGTTAAGGGACCTTTACTTTAGAGCATGCGGCATGCTGAGCGTTAACTGCAAAATCATCCGCCTTAGAAAAGTCAGACAGACCAACATGTCCCTGCCTGCTTGAGTTTAACGATGCTAAACAGTTTATTGATTCGAGCAAAAATATTAGCACATTAATTCCCTAAAAAAATATATAAGTCGCTCCAGACCTTACGCCCTGTCAACGTCGTGTAAGAGGACGTGAAGCGATAGAATTGCATGGTAGTGTTACAGTAAATAACCTGCTAGAGACAGTTTGCAACACAGTAAATAGATTAAAGCCCATAAATAATGTGCA